TGATACCCACTCAAAATTATTGATAATGATGCTCTGACCAATTTAGTTTATTCACGTGCTCGGAGAGAAACATGGCACAAGATGTTAGGTAAATCAATTTAGTTAACAACACTTAACCAGGCATATCATAAAATAGTTTAAGAAAATATTTTTGTAGGAAAGACATACCAAATGGAGAGGGAATCAAGAGCAAGTTCCTGGTTTTCAAGAAGTCCGGCGAGTAGAACGAGAATCTGAAAATACCAAGTCTGAAGACAGAGCATCACGGCGGAGGCGGCGGAGAGTTTAAAGGAACTACATAAACCTGAGAAAGCATGTACACTAAACCCCTTCCACGTCTCACGACACCGATCACTTGTCACGATGTAAACGAACTGAGCCACCACGATAATCCACCACCATAAGCTGAGCACTAGCGAAGCTCCGAGTAGCTCCATTTCGAGCTTGTAAACAGCAAGCCAGGTTAAGAGAAGGTGGAGGGAAAGAGTGGACGCTGAAATGTATGCGCTCGGAGTTACAATGCTTTGCGATTGAAGGAACTTCTGTATCGGGAAATTCATTGAGTAGGCGAAGATTTTTGGGATTAGACCGTAAACGAACAGAGAAGCTGCGGAAGCAATCTCTGGTGATTCTCCGAGGAAAAGCAAGATCTGTTTGGAGAAAACGTAGATTAAGGTGAGTAGAACGCCGGTGAGACTAAGCAACACGGTGGATCTTTGGAGATAAACACCGAGCATCTCGTATTTTCGACCTCCGTACGCTTGTCCACACAGTGTCTTCACCGCACTCCCCATTCCTAGCTATGGATTCCAAAATTTCGAATATCAAAACAAAAATTGTTAAGTTTCATAGCCTTCCAACTCAAATATCGTTTCGGTTTTATCACATACCATGAGACCGTAGGCGAATCCTTGTATTCCGGTGTTACCGAGAGAAGCGACCACGAGTTCTAGGTTTCCAAGGTGACCGGAGAAGATTTCAGTGGAAATGGACATGAAGTAGTTTATCATGTAGACGATTACGGCAGGCGCAGCAAGATTGAAGAGAAGCTTCGACTCGATCATCGTAGCCTTACGAAGGCGGAGAAACAGAGGAGTTTCGACGTTGGAAAGCACTATTTCTAGCTCGTCGTTGCTAGATTCCATCGACGGAGACGATAGCGTTTCATCGCTGTGAGGCTGGAGAAGAGGTTGGTAAACGTCGTGTTGGGGAAAAACAATAAACACCAATGTCGCAGCGGAATAAATTTCCCCACACTTATGTGAATCTGTGAGAAAAATATAGAATACAGCAGCAGCAAATCAAAGCAGTAAAGTAAATGAGACAACAAATTATTTTACGTGAAAAACCTCCTCAATGTGAGGAGTAAAAACCACGGAACCGTAGTCCACTCAAAAATCCACTATATCAAATTTAAGTTACAACCACGTCTTTCCTGTTCCCACAGAATAGATCCAGAGACTAAGGCTCCAAAGAACAATCTCCAACACAAGAAACACCACAAGAGAGCAATACAAGAGCCTAGAAACAAGCAGTCTCAAACGACCCTAAATTCACTAGGATTCCGGTAACCAAATCAGATCTCCACCGTACAAATCTTAGATAAATAAGTCAGAAATATCTCTGCGAAATTTAAGTTCAATCCAAGAAGAATTCACCGTCGGATTTCTCAAACACTCAAGACAACACAGTCTGAAATCTGAACTCGCAACAGCAGTGAACAGCCTCGCTAAAACCCAGATCTGCGACGAACCAACCGTTGAAATACAATCTCCATCGTTGAATATCAAGACCACTGAGTCACGAAGCTTACCAAAAAATTTCAGCCAAATCGGAACTCGTTTAAGCCTCCAAACATTCTATTGAACAAAGCCTGACGAAACTGTTTTTCTCCTTCTTAACCTACGAAAATTGCCTCTCTTCAATTTGTTTCATCTTCCACCAAAATTAGGTTTGGAGTGATACTCCCTCATAATCCTTAACCCAATAACAATCTCATGGATCATAATAGGTTCAAGTTTGGTTTTTCTTAAACCAAACCCAAATTGGTTTCCCCACTAGGAAGAAAACCAACACGTCGTCGTTTTGAGACGAGTCCATGAAGAAGTCGTCGGAGATTTGCTCTCTCTCCCACTGTCTCTCTTGGAGATTAAATACTACATACAAATATTTATGTTTTTTGTTTGTTTGTTAGATATTTCTAGTGTGTGATTAAGATAGCTTTTGCAGAAAGAACATGTTTTGGAGAAAGAATAATCTTAAGAGAATAGCCTAAACAGAATAACCTTAAGAGAATGTTTAATTTATTCAACTCAAGAGATTTTTTATATCAAGTGGATCCTATCTTATAAGAAGTTCATAATAAATCAGAGTGAAGAAATTCGATTGGTGGTTCTGAAAAACGTTTAAGATCGGGCTCGACAAACCCTTTGTCGTATCGGTTGTCCTCCATACGAATTGAACTAGTGATGATTTTGATTAGGCGATGTGGTGTTGAAAGAGTGTCTCCATGTCTTCTACTATTCCTTTTCCTCAATACATGGTAGAGATAGGCTTGAAAGACATACTTGAGGAGGAAGCTTTCTATGTGTGTTGTTTGGAAGAGGCTGAAATGATCAGGATTATCGAGTCCCAATCTGAACATATGTTTGACGTCACAGGCGTTGCGTGACGAAAGACCAAATTATGGCTGAAAATTGGAGTAACAAACAGATGATTGTGTGTCTCCAAATGATGTTAGCATCAGAGAGATGAGGCAATTGTGAATGACAAGCCAAGATGGAAAGAAAATTTGGTGTAGAATATTTGAACCAAATCCCTCGGCCACATTCTAGTCTTTCTCTCTTAACTCGAATCTGATTCCAAATGTCTTTAGAATAGAATTACTGCTTTTATGTTGCTTATATGTTCCGTTCTTTGATCGCCATAAAGTCTTGTCATCTTCCATCAATGATCTCCGTGTCCTCATCTCATTGATGGCATCTTCTCACTCTTGGACCATTTTTATAACCAACATTGCTTCGAGGTAAGTTTTATATTTCTGGTACAGCTAATATTTTTCATTATTGTGAATTTGTGATCGATAACGATTGAAACAATATATCTTCTACAGTTTCGGTAAAAATTTAACTATCAAACCCAACAAGAATATTCCTTAAATACAATTTTATACATGCCAATAAACAATTTTACATAGCTTGAGTCTCCAACGGGTCTTTACAAGTAAACAACTACGTAGAAATAGCACAAACAATAATTGTTATTTTCACAAAATGTCTAAAAACAACATCTCCGGTGTGAAATGTAAGAATAAAATGTTTTAGTGGTTTGGTTTAATATCAGCATGAGTACTCTAACGTCCCGACCGTCCCTACCGGTGGGTCCACACCCATTTTCCACACGTGGGCCCAACTGATATGTCCCATATTTTACCTATATTACTATCTATTTTACTATATTTTTTATGCATTTATCTACGGTTTTATGCCTTTAAAGATAGTTTTTCTCGTATTTGTAGTTTTAGAGTCTTTACAGGGAAATCAARCAAAAARGATCTAAAAGAGCYAAAATAGGTKTAAAWCAAGCCACAGCAACTTTCACAAGCCAAAGACACCATCAAGAACCAAGATTTCACAAGAAACAACATTCTACCAAATTGGATAGAACGTATATACCAGAAGTTCAGCAGTGAAAAGAGGATCAAATCGATTTTTAATTGGATGAAACTTGGTGTACCGATAGATCTTTGAGTTAGCTTTACAATGAAGTTTTAATCATCTCAATTGGAACTGTGAGGAGGAAGATACACTAGATTTACCGAAGACACGTCAAACTGCCTCAGAAACGAAGCAAGTGCATAATCGACCAAAATACAGGGCCACCTCGTGGACCGATATTTCAGGCCAATGTAAGCACAAATCAAGGCACTTTGGGCCCAATACCGGTCATGTTCTTTGGCCGACATTGCCAACYGACTTTGGGAGAGTTTTGACGTAAAAAGACCAATTTGTCCTAAAAAAGACCCTAGAAGAACCTAAGCCTATATATACTTGTTTTTAGCCTTTTGTTAGGGATATGCCAAAATATTAAGAGTAGTTTTATCATAGGAGCAGCCACCACGAGTTCTCTTGGTGTACTTCATTAGATTTGGATTCTAGAGCAATCCGGTGGATGATCTCGCTTTGTACTTCGATA